AAACAAAATGTCCGCACATGCACGCCTAATCTCGTCACAATAACGCGCATCGTTGACTTCGTTCGTCGTGCCATTCGTCTTCCGGCAATACGTTCCTTTTTGTACTTGCTTGTTTTTCGTGGCCGCATCATGTATCATAACACGACGGCAGCGACGCCGTCACGATAGCGAAATGAAAACGAAGCACAAGCTAAAACCAAACACGTCCAAAGCTCAAGACGAAAAAAAAAGTTAGATAAACGAGGAGAAGGAAACTGCAAGTAAACGAGAAGGCACTAAGATGGAAGAATATTGTTGTCACACACGTGTTATGTACATAAATACAGCTCAACGTCGTCGGCGTCGACGTGCAAGCGGCACCAGCGCAAGAAAAGCAACAAAACCCGGGGTGCGTCGAGGAATTTCCCTCAGCAGTTTCGCATCCAAGGCGCATCCACGTGACAAGCCGGCACGACACGACTGCAAATATCAACCATAAAGAATGTTTGTTGTGGTCGCTGGAAATCGGAAAAACACGACGTGAGACGACAGCGAACAGAATACAAAGTTCAAAACGTAAAAAAAAAATGAAACAAATTTTCAGACACATATAATTCGTGTCTGATGGAATTAAATAATTAGATTTTTTTTACGGTTGACTTTTTCGGCATTTCGCATTTGCACATTGCAGCTTTGTGCCTGGATGGATGTAATGCAGGTCTCTAACGACATCAAAAACCAATTGCGATGCAAATTTGGCCGCTGCCAGCCTGCATCCGGCCGCACTCCACTCGCCACTCAGCCGTGCAACGCTCGTGATCCACTTCCCCGCGAGCTTTTGGTCCTTTGGTCTTTGCGCAGCTCATTTCCTAGCTAGCTTTTGCCCGCCTCCTACAACTGACGGTCGGTTGTTGCCCTGTCACCCTTTGCAACCCTAGTGCGCAATTCGTTTAGAGTTCTGATCACATAAGTTTCGCAACTGATACGCAAATGCATGCGCACCACTTTATGACCAAGCATAAAATATTTTGCTTTACTATTCGCGACATGTCGTTGCATAAATCATGTCGAACGAGGCGTTTTAGTGTCAATAATATCTTAACCAACAGATCGGCAGTTCATTAGATTTGGAAATTCTTCCGGAATTTGTGTTTTTAAGAGAATTTGATCATATAATCCAATTTTCATTTGATAAAAACCAAACACCCATTAAATAAAAATGTCGTTATGCACATCGCCGAGAAAATAAAAAATAAAAATTGTAATATATGCATGTACATAAACGCGAAGAGGCAATAAAAATGAAAATTTAATGCCCGCCACCGTCATAGACTACGCAGACGAAATAATGAAAATGATGATTAAATCTAATAAAAGTGAAAAAATATCTCGCCCATTTATTATCCAATATTCTGTGCGCAATTTCATGCGCTAGTTTTTACGAGATAGTTAAAACGCAAATTTTAATGATAAAACATGTTTTAAAAATTGGAAAAAGCATGCATGGCGTAAAATTTGTTCATTGCTTAATTCACAATAAAAAATGCTTCATTAGAATCTCAGCCCCGGCGGAATGTGAACAGCTTTTTAAAGTGTAAAGCATTGAAAATTGCTTTATAAGTTGTTAATGGTTTCAAGTGAAAAGTTCGCAAATGCACCGAGTAAGTGAAAATTCATGTACTTTCATGCTGTGCTTCCAACTTTCTCATTGTCACTCACGTCACGTCAATCTTATCAATGTTAAAATATCCAAAAACAGTCGAAAGGTTTCGCGAATGCAAAATTTAATTAATAATTGTGCAATATTCAATAATAGCAATTATTGACATATCACACCAGAATAAATTTGACACTGATATTCATCCATAATGCATGAAAAAGCAGATTTATGTCATTAATCTTATTGTGTTCCAATAATTGAATATGCTAGAACCAGTCATCCTGTATATTACGTAAAAGCTTTATAGTTATCTACTTTTTTCTATAATAAAAATAAAATTGCATAGTAAGTTAAAAACCATGTGCAGTTTTGTTTGGAACCTTTTTGTACGATATATTTTACCTATGGCTATTATAATGTGCCCCGACGCATACTTTTTGCCCATAAAATAGTAAATAGATTTCGCGTTTAGATAAGCTGCGCACACACGTCCGTCCAGGCGCATAAAATTGCTCGATTTATAACACAACACACGCAAAGTCCGAAAGCCGGAGAGCGAAGCACGCCGATGCGGAAAATTCACGTGAAATTCTATAATATACACAATTGTATATAAATCCCACCCTTAACTATATTACATAAACATATACAAAGTGTTTAAGCAATCCAAATCCAATTAATTTAAATAACAGTTTTCTTATTTAATTTTTTTGATTTGTGCTATAAATTTTGAGGTAAAATTAATTTTAAAATAATAACAATTAATAGATAGATGTATACAAAAAAAGTAAATGCATATTCATGGCATTAGACGATGTATAAAAAAATCGATTGACGCTATCGCGAGTTTGTTATATCCTCCTCTCAAAAAAACCCGGTCAGCGAGTCAATGGTTTACCCTTTGCAGACCCAAACCACCCCGTAATAACCGTACATATTTCGACACACATTTTCATAATATCTGGTTTTCCGGTTTCTACTGCCCCGTTTATTTTGTAGCTAAATAATTTGAAACCTGTAAATTTTTGTGCAAATACATAAAAAAATTAAAAAATTAAACAACACTCGGTAGAAAATTCATAGTTATGATATCGGTAGAGCCGAGCATCAATTAAACACGCGCAAGAGTGCGGTTCGACGTTCACGTCCCACGTTTATCTGTTTAGTTAATTTAAGACGCGTTTCATTAGGCAGATCATCGTATGGCTGCGAACGCCCGATAGCGCTGCCGCCACCGCCGCCGCTACTACTTGCCTCCGCCGGAAATGCTTGCGGTCGCGCCGCGAGACCCAGATGTGCTTAGCGAAACCTAGTTGCGATGCATTAAGTAATAAACAACGAAATGTGCAAGGAAACCGGGAAACTCTAGTAAATATAGCAACTTGCAAGCACTACTCGCGCGCAAGTTTAGCACGGTAAACGCAAATAATAGCGAGCATTCGCCCGCATCACAAGTTGTAAACAGGCGATAGAGATGTTGAAGACGTGCAAACTTTGTCGAATTTAATTATTAATTAACGCCTACACACAACATGCGATTTTATTTTAAATATGTACATATAAAGTATTATGTGGAGGCGCTGAGCAATGGCAAATTATATTATGATAAAGGTAATTATTGGTTCATGCAAAATTCAGCAGATTTTTCAAAGAAAAGATAACAATTATCTGGAATAACTTTGGAAGTTACTTTGCGTTCTTGGAATTTTTGGTTATCTTTTTCAATGGATTTGGGTTTTCCTACTCAATTTCCCAGCTCCCCATTGACCCATTTTCAAATCTAACATGATTATTATGTAATGCTACACAGATTTTCCCGTAATAATGTTGCGTGGGACTGTGGGATGGCTGGAGGAGAAAAGAGGCACGAAAAATGCAAAGCGGGAAATTCCAGGACTGCGAAAGCCCGGCGGGCCTTCAACGGCGTGCTTTGCGTGTCTTGCCAAGCAGGAATAGATAGGGATTCGCATTTTAGTCTTAAGAGAGCAATGATGATACGTGCACAAAATAACTACTCGTATCATAATATAACATACTGAAATTTCTCACAGAATTTTAAAATCCTGTAAAAATACGTGAAAAGTTCGATAGAAAGCAATTCTTCCGCGTTTCGAGAAATGTTTTTAGCGACTTAAAAATATACTTTTAGCACTTTCATGGTTATTAAACCAGCTGTATAAAAATCGACTCTGGTCTATATAACCATCGACCGAAATTCAACCTATAAGGGTTTTCCCTCGGGTTCAACTTTCCAGATGAAACTACTCGGGTGTACGGGAGCTTGGCGCTGCATTCAGCTTCCACAAGACGCAACAATTCCGCCGAGGGATGGCCGAAGTCGGCAGTCGGTGCAATATGGAATCGCGGCACACAATGTAATTGTGGAACACTGCCGGCAACAAAGGCGAAATTCTCGCGTCCGAAAGTCCGCTAATTAAAAAAAGGCCCCGACTCACTCGCCAGCACATACACACACGTAGAAAATGCCAGCTGGAGCAAGAACAACTTTGCAGCCGAAAAGAAATGGATAAGATAAACATTTGGCAAAGTAATGAAAACTCTGCACGCAAAAGGTGCTGAAACTTGCTGGAAACTTACGCAAGATTAAGGAAAATATAAAAGAATTAAACGAAAAATACAAAGAGAACTAACGAACAAATACAAAGGGTGATAGCACAAAACGTAGGAAACAAAGAGTGAAATAATTTAATTAAAGCAGGTGTATCACACTAAACATAAGAATTTCTTTTATCAAAACTAAAGAATATTAAAATTTACTCAAGAGTAAAAATATAAATAAGGCATAATCTAAGAATAAATGAGAGAAAAACAATTTTAATTAACTTTTATCGCCATTACCCCATCGTTCCATCATAAACTCGCCATGCCAGCGAAACCGAATTCGCTGCCAGCGTAGAAAGCAACACCAAACGCGACGCTTATCATTTTTATCTATACACCCCGTGCGCCGAATGCGGAACATGTTTCCTAATCATCTTTATCTTAATCTTCATTTCGTTTCTCCCCCCGGTGGTGGAAACGAGCCCTTTAACGCGCCCAAACTTTCCACTGTACTCATTTTTTTTTCGTTAATCCTTTGAGGCGCGGCGCGTATAATCAACAAAACAAAAAAGCGGAAACTTTTTCTTTCGTTGATAATGATGTTTGCTCAAGTGATTTTGTCCTGGTTTGCTTTTATTTCCCAGATCTTAACTTTTAATTTTTTTTTGTTACATTCACTCGTGATGCGACTTCTTTTGATTTTAACTGAGAAAGTTTTACATGTCGCTTTGTTGTTGTTGCAAAGATAAACACAGGCATATAAAAAGAAAACTTACCTTTTATGATGAGGAAAAAACGAAGGCTTTCAGTGCTGTCCCCATTATCTCTGCTTTGATGTATGATGACAAGGAAAACCTGAAAAATAAATATTTTATATAAATATTAATCACATTAACATTCACTGCAGGAAAATTTACGCATGTGAAAAGAAGCAGTAAATATTTCACATATTTCGAAAAGTTTTCCGCTCGCTAAATTCGACTTTTATATTAGTTGTCGTTTATTTATAACAAACTTTTGCCCATTTTTATTCGAAGTGAAGTGAAGGAGACGCGAAACTAAACCAACATAAATTCCTATTTTTGGAAACGCTTCGCGCAAAGTTGACGCTTTAAGTTTCGTCCATTCTGGAAAGAAAATCTAGGACGTTCTCTACCTTCGCTGTTCCTAACATTTCCAAATCGTAAAAATATAAAACGTCGAATAAAATACAGGCCGGGGCATTACAATGCATGGGCATAAATAAAATACCATAAAAGAGCGGCGCAAGTCGCACAACAAAAAGAATACGGAATAAGAATGAGAATCCGAATAGAAGTAAGAAAAGTAAAATCCAATGCGGGCGCAAAGATGAAAAACATGTTGAATTGACTCCGCATTTCGCTTTCGAGCCCGCTACACAGAACCATAACCAGAACGAGAAGCTGAATATAGAAAATCCCAGTAAATAGAGCCACAATAAAAAAAAGAACGCGGACGGCGAAAAGAAGAAAAGTTTAGGACGTGATTTAGTGGGCTTCGAAGAGTCCTCAAAGTGTGCGGCCAGCGGTTTGAGGAAAACCGATATTAGTAAGCTATAAAATCGCCGAAAAATGTAAAATAACCTTCCGCGGTCTACCAAACAAACTAAAAACTTTCGTTTACCAAAAAGATGCTTCCTTAATGTCTAGCCCATAAAATAAATGAGGCGTAGCAGTATTATAACTTCGTATAAATCAATAAATAATAAATTAATCAAATTTAGATATTTTTGTAAAATATATTTTCTTTATAGTTTCATAAATCTATATTTAAAAGAGAATTCTTTATGGATTCATTTCCGTTTGTGCACTTTTCTTAAGTGGCTCATCTCGGCTTTCGAATTTTTAGTTGCTACTTTCTGCAACAGCAGATGCAAACTGCAGTCGGAGTCTAATTTCCTTCATTTTAATTTTTTGCTTCTGATGCTACTGAATAAAAACAAATTTGATAAAATATAAATAACTTACTTAAAAATCACTTTCATGGAAATATACTGGTGGAACAATTTGAGAATGTCGGCAAATGTAGAGAAAGTAATGGAACTCCGGTGGAAAACGGTAGAAAGACTTAGAAGGCGTTGTGGAAAACGGTAGAAACTATGAAAGGTGGAATCCCACCAGCTTCCAGAAGACAAGCGAGCTGGTTACGACGATTGAGCGACGAGTTCGATAAATTCCGCCGTCTTAATCAGACCTATTCTCCGGTTCTCTCCAGGCGCGCATTTCAGCCCCCCGGCTGCCGCCTCCACAGCAAAACTGCTCTCATTATACGCTCGATTCGAGCGCTGACTGGCGTACGTGAGACGCTCGCTTCGACGTTCTTAATCTTCGCAATCCTAACGAAAGTTCCAATTCGAAATTCTACGGAAAACACCCGAAATGAAGCACCAGAAAAATAAAAAATAATTAGAGGCATTAAAGACTAAATGCAAAATGAATTAATTTAAAAAAAGTGTCCAAATTTTCATTTTTTGATAAAGTTTAGTTAAAGTTTACTATTAGAAAGATTTGGAATCTTTAAATTGGTTTCCGATCGTGTCACTGCAAAACTTTGCTCACACGGCGTAAAACTCGTAAATCCTTTCGTCTTCGACTAGCGTTGAAAGCTCAGCGCCCCCAAAGCGCAGAAAATGAAACAACTAGCAAAAATGGCATCGACACCACGGGAAAAGAAAGATTTACACGACTGATGCGCCAATGTCAAACGGCTATACCAGATAAATCTTTCTGCAGCTTTTCGAGATTTCACAGATAACCAAATGCAATGTTGAAAAATCAATAAAGTAAAATCACTGGCAGGTTAAATCACACCCAAAAAACACAAGCAAACAAATTCGAATGGTTGTCTCTCGCATGTTCATAATATCCGGCGTAATTTCCACAATGAATATTCGCATATTTTACATTTCGCCGTTTTGATGTCAACACAAGCCGTGATAAACAGCATTTGAACGTTCAAACGTCCGTGATCTATCTGCTCTTCGGCTTCGCACCCTCCGCTTGCGGTGCCGCCCCTCGGAATAATGAAAAACGCGGCCTCACGCAATCGATGAAATTATTCTCCCGTGCGATTTTTTTTGCGGCACGCAGAAACGATTTGACCCGCACGAGCAGCGAAAATAACAGCGCGCGCGGCGGCATCGACGTGGAATCGGCGGTGATAAATGGCGAACGAGCGGATTTCCAAACGGGCGCTTTTTGGAAATATTAAAAAAACGTTTGTTTACCATTTGTCGCTATCGTCGTTCGGCATACTGAACGCACCCGATGAATATTGCATGGGGGCGATGATTTAAATTAGCATCATTGAGTTACATTTGTTTTCGCGGAAAATAAACATGAAGAAGTGAGCAAAAGTTCAAAAGTAATGTTCACAAGCGAAATAATGGTTCACAGAGAATCAATCTACATTATATATTATACTAATCAAAACTGATACAAAGTAAAAATGTGTAGGTATTGCCTGGAATTTTAGCTTGATAAACAATATTTCGGCAGTAAATGTTCAAGTATATAAATAATATTCGAAATTTTTACCATATTTTTGGCCACAGAACGAAATTTGTGCACGTGCGTGCCATTTGTTAGAACTTCCCCGCAATGTGCAACAAAAGCAAGCATCAAAGGAAAGCTACGCGCGTAAAGCGTTCCAACCATCGATGGAAAGCCGTAAAAATGTGTGGAATATTGGAAAATACCACGCCATCCACGCATTCGCACGTATCGTCGTCAAAAACGAAAAAAAAAACACACACACATAAAACTCAAGCGAGAAAAAAAACGCAAAGAAAAATGCTCATGGATTTTATCCAGATACACAAATGAGCTCAGTTCGATATGCTCGCAATGGATATGCGTGCGTATATTACTGCTTACTGATATCCCCCTATCGCATAAAAGATATTCATATGTATATACCTTTAGCGGAGCGCAGCAGCCGCAGAACTTGCGGTTTGTGGCATTTTTCGCGTTTTTTTCTTCTTCTTTATTTCGCCATTTTGCGGCTTCGCTCGTTTGGATGGCGGTGTTTTTTTCTGAATTCCTGCGTGCCTGCATGGTGCAATTCAACGGGCGGTAAAATAGGGAAGCCCGACGCGACGTGTTCTTTTCATACTCGATGGTGTTTTTTCGGGTTCTTTTTTGCATATATTCGAACGTTATCGATAGCATATCCAGCGGAGAGAAGCCCAAAAACCGAAAAAGACTAAGAGGGGAGTCTGTATAAAATTGCTTTCATAATAAATTCATTCCAGGTATATCACAAGTAAAACATAGCCTTAGAATATGCTAAGAATGTGAATTAATTTTACGTAGGTATTACAAAGTGCTTTCAACATTCAAAGATTCACAAAAGAATAGATAAAGTTATCAGAGCATAAAGCAACACTTTATATTCAAAAACAAATAATACTTCTTGTCAATTTAAATTAATGACAATCTATAGAAACAGTTCAGATCAAGTAATGATAATACACATTTCTTGCTTGGTGTATTGTAAAGTCTAGATGATCGCCCAGCGTAGAAATTCCAAGCAAAGATGATTTTAGAACGTGATGTGAACGCACAGCCCGACGATACAAAGTGCGCGATGTTATTATACCGACCAAGTGGATGCCACATCCTAGCCAAGCATCTAGTGCGGCATGCAAAATAGCTGGCGGCGCCCGAGGGGAAACTCCTACAGCACGCCAACGTAAAATAAAAAAAAAACGCACATAAGGCGCGAGCCGGAGCGCCGGGGCGGCACAACAACGCTCCCAACAAGCCGTCCTTATATTTTCGCATACTCGCGTGAGGTGGTACAAGGGAATCGTATTTTTCTTGCGTTTTACATTCGCGCGGCCCGGCGCCGCCATCGTATCTCCTCATTTGTTATTCCATTTCGTCCGCGTTTCGGCGACGCGAGCAGCGCTGGATTCCGTCGTGTGTCGTTCATTCTGCTTCTTGTGCGTCGGTTAAAAACTCACATCGCAACAAACACAACATGCTTACAGAGTATTAAAATAGATTACGGTGTAATTCGATGTTTCAATTTGGGAAAAATCGAAGTGATTTTGTTTAAATTAAAATTTTAAAGCAGAATTTTGCATTTTACAACTTATATAGGATTAGTTTTGTTACATCCTGTAGAACACTTGTACGTTTATGTTTGGTTTAGTTTGAATACCCGAATGTGTTTTGAATGGTTGCTTTTTTGTGATGTAAATAGGCATGCGTGTGACGTTGGAGATGGCAATAGCAACAAATTCGTTTGCAAATGTTCCAGATAAATATACTCCTTTTCACTCACAGCAAGCTAAGAACGGGTTTGTATTATAAATATTTGCCTCGCATAACGCGCAAACTAAAACAAAAAACACAAACGAAGGCAAAGCTCGAAAGCGAAACGACAAGCCTTTAAGTCACGGATGACTTTTACTTTTGTTCTCGCGTCGTTTTTCTCTCGCTGCTCGGGGATAGAAGGGAATTTGCGTTTTCGTCCCGATGGCCCGAGAGCACACGCCGTTTTAGACATTCACTACTTTTTTTTACCCACAAAATAGAACGTTTTATGACCCACAAACAAATAAAATATGTGTGCTCCCCAATTATTTGTTCCTTTGCCTAAGGTTTATTTCACTTAACTCATGATAAATTCCGATAAAAATTGGGGTAAAAAGATATAAAATTACTAGCGAATATTTGTGTTTTATTGTTTGGTTTATACACTGTTTTAATTTGACTGTTCAATTGATTACCAAAAGCCAGGCAATATTGCAAATTCCAGATTAATCAAACAAAACCGATAATAATTTTGACATCCGCGTTTCCACATTCAATGGGCTCAATTTTGAA